GAGGCAAAGAAATCATTAAACATATTAGCTTTGTCGTCTGGTGTGACGACCAAGTTTCCCAACATGTCCTGCAAGGGCCCCACATTACCTGGGACCTTCTTTTTACCCCCTATGTATTTAAAAAAAGACTTCTTATTGTCCTTAATCTGGGAAGCTAGCCCCAGTTCCATCTCTGCTTTGGCCTTCCTAACTACCCTCCTACATCCCCGAGCAACTGCAGAATAGCCTCCTTGGTGATGACCCCTTCTTTCCATTGGGTGTAAGCCACCTTTTTAGCAAGGATCCATTCCTGGATGCTTTTGGTGAGCCATGGGGGCTTATGTGCCCTCCTGCTCCCTTTGATCCTCATTGGGATTACCTTCCTTTGGGCTTGGAGGATTGTCTCCTTGAGGAGCGACCACTGTCCTTGGACACCTGTCTCCCCTCCCTTTTGGGACCTCAGTGCTTCCCCAGCTATCCTCCTTAGCTCGTTGAAATTTGCCCTTCTAAAATCCAGGGCCACTGCCTTGCTGCATGCCTTTGCCACCTTGCGCTGGATGGTGAATTCCAGCAGGCGATGATTACTGTCACCCAGGTGGTCGAGCACTCGCAGCCCCCTCACCAGGTCATCACCCATGGCCAGCACTAGGTCCAACAAGGCATCCCCCCGGTGGGTGTGTGCACCTCCTGGGTTAGATGGAGGTCCTGCACTCTGTCTAAAAACCTACATCATCCTGTAAGGCATAATGGCAAATCCCAGAAGAAAGTCTGTGACTCCCATTGACAGGATCATGAAATTGGTTGGAGAGTGCAGCTGCTTAAAATATGAGATTGAAATTATTATAGCCAGATTCCCAATGACAGTGATGATGATAGCCATTAAGCATTAACAAATACATTGCTCCTCGAACACCTGCTGACCTGAAGTCTTCAGGACAAGATCCATTTCCAAATTCAGAGCAATCAATAATATCCTTTGTGATGTTACAAAAGGTCATTTTCCTTTATTATGTATTTTGTATTTTATTATGGTTTTAGTATTACAGGCATGGCTTTATATGCAGAATTAATATTCATGAGTTTTCCAAATGACTCCAGCTCCTAAAATTAAAATACAATATAAAATTAATAGGAAGTTACCATTAGGCATTGTTTAAAGTAATTTTGGGAGAACTACTGCCCCAACTTAAGTAAAAGGCAAAAATCCTGTTGACTTCATTCATCCCATATTTTCAGTCATTTCTCTAAGAGATGGTAAGGAAATATACCTTCATATAATGAAAATTGATTTAAAATATCATATTTTAATCAAAATTTTAAAACCCCTGTATTTTTTTCAAATTAAATGTTTTAATTAACATTTTTTCAAATGTTAAAGCAGTAATATTTTTCTTTTTTTGCAATCTATTGCTTGTATCACCCAGAGATTCCTTCAATGTGAACCTTGCATTTCCTAAAGAGATTGGTATCAGCTACCATGTTTACTCAAATACAAAATGAGGTTTTGTTCCCCAATCAGTATGGCAAAAAAAAACCCTTTTCTTATAAACGTATACAAGAAAGCCACATTAAATGATATTATCTATCATTAAGCTGCTGCCAAAAGTAGCATGTGCTCTGTAATGGAAACCAACTACAGAGCTGGTTAAATGTAGCCAGCATTGACCACGAGTATAAAACGCATGGCCCACATTGGGCAAACATACTGATAGGAACCCTTTTTTTGTGTGGCCCTTAAAAAAACAAGGCAGCTGCTCCCCCAGCATGGGATGAGCACGGGACCTAGTGGCTGGCATGATGCTCGGCATTTAGAAAGTCTGATACCTCCCACCCCCAGCTTGGTTATATCAGCCAATGGGAGCCTACCATAAGGATAGGCCTGTGCAGCCCTTCTGAATAGGATACTTGTTAGTGCCCATTGTATGCGGTCTTCCTTAGCACCAACGCTTTTTCAGGTGAATGTGAGCTACTACAGTGAATACAGTTTGACTTCCTCATCACTCCCACAACTGAGCTGTATCTTTCCCATTTCCAATTATTCCTGTTTTTTCACCAGCCTTAAATGACTGGCAAACATTGCCAAGCAGGGCTCCAAACAGTTCACCCAGAATCTCTCTGTCTCCCCCTCTCTCAACCTGTCACATATGATTAGTGTGGCCCCTTCCTCCATGAGGTGAAGCCGGAGCAGGTTGCCCTGCGCTTCATCTGCATATAAACTTTTGGTTTCCACAAACCTCAACGTGAGTCCTGTTACTCTAAGAAGCTGATTATGTCAACCCCTTCTTCACTATCATCCTTGACACTTGAAACATAACATTTACATTTCTCTTAAGATTATTAAAATGATAATCTTCTATGTGAGGGGAGATTTTTTGTCCAGTTTATGCTTTCCTGGATTTCTTTCAGCAGCCAGCTAATGTGCTGCATATGCCTAATAGGCCTGTGTGAGTATGCAGCTATTTGATCCGGCTTTGGATATGGCCACTTCAGATGCCAAGGATCTGATCTGGAGCTCTGGATTGGTTCCCAGCTTCAATCCAGCTGAAGTGGTTCCGAAACTTCGGAACCACCTCGGAGATCCGGCCATAGGGTATAATGGGAAATCAATGAAATATCTATAACTTTGTTGTTTTATATCTGATTTGCATGAAACATGCAGGGGTGATAGCCTCTGCTGCAAACATGAAGCCTGCCAAATTTCAACAAGATAGGTGCAGGAGTTTGGGGGAAAATGCACACCAAATTCTTGAAACTCACGTCATGTGTATGTGTTAAGCCACAGTGGAGTCAAAACCCCTGCTGAGGCCACAAAGCCTCAAGTTCAAGGTAATAGGTGAAGGAGTTTGGGGGGAACTGCACCTCAAGATGCTGACAGGCAAAACTTGTGACATAGATGACCCTGTGTGTATTAAGGCGCTGCGGGCTAAAAACTGCAGTGGCCACAAAGCCTGCCAAGTTTCAAGGAAATAAGTGCAGGGGTTTGGGGAAAACTGCAACTCAAGCTGTGGACAAGCAAAACTCATGACATGGGTGGCACTGTGCCTTAAGGTGCAGCAGGGTGAAAGGTGCAGGGATGGTAGCCCCTGATGTGGCCACAAAGCCTGCCAGCTGTCAAGGAGATAGGTGCAGGGCTTCTGGGTTCTGAGGCCTTGCACCTTTAGCTGCTGACAGGCAAAACTCATGACATGGGTGTTTGTGTAACAGTGTCTGTCTTGGGGCAGAGGGGTGGTAAGGGTGGGGCTACTGCAGGCCTGGCTGCTAAGCTACTGTGTTACTAGTTACCAATTAATCATGATTCACTCAGGGACCAGCTCAATGCACAGTACCTAGCTACTATATAATGAGTTAACGGGCATGGATTAACACCTAATAAAGCACAGACTAAGGAGAGGAAAGAATCAATACAGACAATCAACTGCCCCAAGACAGACACAGTCAGTTGCACAAGCACCCATGTCAAGAGTTTTTTCTGTCAGCAGCTGGTGTGAAGGGCCCCAGAACCCCCCTGCACCTATCTCCTTGACAGCTTTCACCCCTCTGCGCCTTACCACACACAGTGTCACCCATGTCACAAGTTTTGGCTGTCAGCAGCCAGAGGTGCAGGGCCCCAGAAGCCAGACTCCCCCTGCACCTATCTCCTTGACAGCTGGCAGGCTTTGTGGCCTCAGCAGGGGCCACCACCTCTGCAGTTTTCAGCCCGCTGCACCTTAACACACACAGGGTCATCTATGTCACGAGTTTTGCCTGTCAGCTGCGTGAAGTGAAGTTCCCCCCAACCCCCTGCATCTACCTTCTTGAAATTTGGCAGGCTTTGTGACCTCACCTTGGGCTACC